ATAATGAGTAAATTTTTTACCTTCTGCGCTCCCATCTATCCTTTGGTTTTAAAATGTTGCTTTCTTGCATGAAACTATAAAATGCATTTAAACTTTTCTCCACATAGGTACAAACGTCAGCCTTACTTGTATGGTCTTGTTGCGTAACAGAGACCAGAACATTAGGCTGAGATTTCTGCAGAATTGTGTTTACATTAAATAACAGTCTGGTGAAAGAAAATTCTTTTTTGATAAATGTGACATAACTTCATTTTGCCATTAAGTGTTGTTCCACAGACTGTTCAGACTAGATTAAAGTTCTGGGCTTGTTTTCATGGCTGTGAACACTGTTTCTAGCCATCTTAGAGGAGACCTCCGATTCTCTATTGCAAAATCCCCCATACATTGCTCTTAAGCAAGACATGCTTTCCTTGCCATGCCTTACTCATAATTATATGAATTTGGGAAAAAAGAAGCTGCAATGGGTGGTTTTGTAGAAGAGAAAAATGCATCTCCTGATTTTGTTTTAAAGGTAAAAGCAGGCTGTTTCTTCTCAAAGTATCTGTGTACTTGCCAGAAATAATTGTCAAAACGTTACTTGAATGTTAAACGTTAATCAACAAAAAATCTGGTAGTGTGGTTCTGAGTCAAGAAATAAATTTATATTAGAGAATTACAATTAAAAATCGGTTTTACAGAAACAGTAAATTGCATAGATGAAATAAGTGATCCAAATACATAAATGTTTGTGCTGGTTTTGGCTGGGATAGAGTTAATTTTTTGTAGTTCTGTGTTTTGGATTTAGGATGGTGAATAATGTTGATTATGTTGTTATCTCAATGTTTCAGCCGTCCAGTGCGTACAGTAAGTCAAGGTCTTGTCAGCTTTGCATACCAGTGAAGAGGCTGGGGGGCACAAGAAGCTGGGAGGGGGGACACAGCCAGGATGGGTGACCCCAAGTCCCCAAAGGAATATTCCATGCCGTATGGTACATTCCATACCCTATAATGTCATGCTGGACGAAAAAGAAATGGGGTCCAGAGGGCAGCGGCTGCTGCTTGGGGTCTGGCTTGGCATCAGCGGGTGGTGAACAATGGCATTGTGCATCACTTATTTGTTGTATTCTTTTACCATTATTATTCTCCATTTCTTTTCTGTCCTATTAAACTGTCTTTATCTCAGCCCACAGATTTTACCTTTTTTTTCCCCAATTGTCTCCCCAGTCCCACTCGGTGGGGAGCAAGTGAGTGGCTGTGTAGTGTTCAGCTGCCTGCTGGCTGAAACCACAACAATGCTGAAGAGACTCTTTTAGAATTACGGGTAATTAACTTCATCAGGCTTGTAATTAGCACCAAAAAGGTAACATTAGGTAATGCAAAACCTTTCCAAGAGTTTCTAGACCTTCAGTAGTACTTTGGGTCTTGATGCTATTGCAGGTAAGTCACCCCCTTCATCCTTTTCACTTCACCTGTTTAGTTTTGAGTTGTAGCTCAGAGACATAGAAAGCTTTAAGAAAAATTTGTAATTTACATTTCCCCAGGGATATGTATTAAAATGACAAGAGAATAGGAAATTGAAAGTGAAATTTAAATGTGAAGGATAATCAAGCACTATGTGTTGAAGTGTCTGAGCAAATTTCATTCCATGCTTTTAATGATACCAGGCAGCACTAGTACAGTCACAGCTACCCATGGCTTAAACAGGAATTTCAAACATTGCATTTTCTTCCTTTTATTCTGGGGTGGGATTTTTGGAGATTTTTTGTTTATTTGTTTGTTTTTTGTTCTGCCGCTTGAGAACATCACAGGATGTTCTCAGGAAGCAGAATCTGAAATGTGGTTCTGGATACTTGTTTTGTATCAGTGTACATTCTTCATACCTTTTCTGTTAACCCTAATATCAGATCTGAAAAGAATATAATGAGGATAACTTCTGAGGGGTTGCAGTATAAATTATTTTTGGTTTGCTCCCTAAAACCCCTGAAATACAGCTTAGTAATACTGAAATATACATAAATGTAAAACCACATGTAGGAAACTGAGACTTAAAATATTATAAACATGTAGAATACAGCCAGAACACAGAATTCTTGTCTTGCTGTCCTCTCAAGCTCTTTAGCTATTTAGCTAAATAGCATTTCAGTCTGCTGTTAATGATCAGAAAGGATGTTTTCCTTAGGAATTTCTCAACTTGAGTAAGTTGGGAGTACCAACTGATACGTACCACCTAACATGACATAGCATTTTGGAACTGAAAGGATTATTGCAAACATGTTAGCCTGGGACTGCTTTTGTGCAGGAGTACATTTGCCAGCAAGAGATGGAACTTCAGGAGATTACTTGGGTCATATATCAATGTGCAGATTTCTCTTGGACATAATTACCTCATTCTCCCTACTGGAAGATTGAACTTACTCACCAGGATTTTGGCCATATCTGTCTTTTCCTAGCTGTTGAGGAAAGGTGTAGTAATGGCAGATGCCAGCCTCAGAAGGGTGGGGTGGTGGAAAAATTAAAAATGAGACGTACACTAAACTTTAAGAAAGCAAATGTGCCAAATTTGAATTAATTTAACACATGATGATAAATATATATATGAATAATTTCTTTCCATGTTACCTATCTGTATAACTCATGTGAGTCTAAAAGCTAACTTCGTGGTCATAATTTTTATTCAGCTTCTTTCTGATTTAAGGACACTGGATCAAAAACACAGTGATATGGGATTATTAATGTAACATGATTTTTTTGCCAGGAAGGCTGTAATTATAGTGCTTTTTATTATAAGAACTCTTTCAAGCTGCTTAGTACTGAATGGCATTAGTTCCCCTGCCCTTGACGTGGCAGTAATTGCCTTGCAATTGTGATGATGGAGTGTTGGTTTATTACTAAATCTGACTATATATAATTATGTTTGAAGAAAAATACTCTTTGCCTGGCTTTCATTGTGCAGGACTAGGAGTACTTCAAGTTCTTTTAATTGGTTATACTGTGCTTAGCTTTTTCATTCAAATGGCTTACAGGTTTTCATCCTTTGTGTCTTGAATCTAGCAGACTAGGTTTCAGACAGAAGACTGAAAACTAAACTTTCTTAATTTTTCTGTGATTAAAAAGTGTGTTATAATTTTTCATTTAGATAATGTTGAAAAAAGGGAACAGGAATTTTGTTTTAAGTTGAGATTATTTCTTTTTTGTGCTGTATAATTCAAGACTTTGACCTATTACATGAATAATTTGGCTAAATGCTCAGTCTCTGGAATGAAATATCAAGATACATTTAAATAACCCGTTCTAAGCAGGCATTTGGGGGTCAATGTCATCAAGAGGGGATGTTTCTTATCACCTTGGAATGTATCAGGAGTCCAGATGTGATAAGGGTAGATGCGCAGTGACATTGAACTTACCATGTATCACCATGGCAATGAGGGGGGGAAATTCCACCCTTTGACCTGACTTTTCCCCCAGAATCTGCAGCATCTCCGCTTTAGTATTTTGGCATGTAACCGGTCAACTTGGTTCATCAACACTGCTGTAATTAGGAACAGGATTTCCAAAGATGGTAGCTTAGTATTGAAGTTAATTTTTTATAATGTTTTAAGAATTAAATATGAAAATGGCTCTGCATTTCAGGCTCAAACATCAAAGTTCAAGCAGTATGATAACGAAAGTCTTAACAAGCAGCCTTCAGGTGCTTTTTACTGGCATTATGCCTTAATACTGTATATCCACCATGTATATACACCTAGAAAAAGGGGAGGGTATGCTAACATGCGTTCTTATTGTAGACCATGAGGAAAGAACTGTGAGTCGGTGTGGAGTGATGATTTATTTACATTTGTGTACCTAATAAATTTTGAGGGTTTAAAATGAATTAAGTTTTTGCACTTTGTCACATGTGTATTTTTGAGGCAGTTTTTAGAGACAACGAAAGCTTGCTTACCCAAAAGGATTCAGTCTTGTTTTTTGACTGTTTTTGGTTGTTTTTTTTTGACAAATAGTGATTTGCCACTTCAGACTTTTATTTCTTGTTAACTAGACTTTCAAATTATTGTAAACCCTTTATACATCCATACCTTAACATCTTACATGCACTCTCTTAAAAAGGAATTTCTGAGCAGTGTAAGTACTTCTGACTGGAGTGCTTTTTCAAGTTGTTTCGTCTTCTGCAGGAATGCAAAAATATGAGGCTGAGTTTAATAATACCTTAAAATATAAATTTAAATTGCTGTTGATCCTGTCTTCTTTTTCCAGAAGGTTTATTACTTGCTATTAAGTTGTCTACCCACAATAATGAGCAATAATGATGATCTCTATAGGACTCTCATTCTGGAGATTCTAGTTTAAGCAGTATTACATTTTGTTGCTGTGTTTACCTAAAATATGTTGAGTTTATTAAAAATAGAATGCTGTATTATGGACCGAGTTGGTTTTATAAAATTGTGACATACAGGCTTTTTTTCCTCTCTTAATATGTTAGCATTATTAGGATTGCTACATGCATCCTTTGGCTGGTATCTGCTCTGTGTTTAAGGTTTTCCCCTTCAGAAATATGATTTTGTTTCACCTCTCCTGATTTCCTTTTATATCACACAATCCCAGACTGGTTTGGGTTAAAGGGACCCTAAAGCTCATCCAGCTCCAACCCCTGCCATGGGCAGGGACCCCTTCCACTAGAGGAGCTTGCTCCAAGCCCCTGTGTCCAACCTGGCCTTGAACACTGCCAGGGATGGGGCAGCCACAGCTTCTCTGGGCACCCTGTGCCAGCGCCTCAGCACCCTCACAGGGAAGAACTTTCTTAAATTTCCAGTAATCTTGAAATTCCCACTTCTCTGTGCCCGCTGCTGTGTTAGTCCTGAAACTTTCATTTTGAGAGACCAGTCAGAGCTGTCAGCTCCTCGTACAGGGGTGAATTGTTTGTCCTCTCCTCTCTCTACCTGCGTGTCAGATGCCATCCTTTCCTCTGAAGGAGCCTTGTTCATTAAAACATGAATAAACGTGGTCTTTTCTGCCTTTTCTCTGCAGCTGGCCTATGGACAGTCTTCACGCTCGGAGGGGTGGGCAGCAAACCAACGCCACAGATGGAGCAGTGCTCCCCTCTGGCTAACCAGAGCCTACTGCTGCTGCTGGTCTTGGCCAATCTCACCGATGCTCCAGATACACCGAATCCCTACAGGCAAGCTATTATGTCCTTCAAGAATACCCAAGGTTTGTATCTGTTCCTACCTCTAACCATGAACTGATGAAAATGAAGTGTTAAATTGCTGTGACGGCGTACAGGGTCTTTTCCCAAAGCTTTTTCTCCCTTCAGCCAACCCGTGGAAAAGCAGTAATTATATATTATTGTTTTTCTGGGAGTTTTGAGGTGGAGTTCCTCAGCTGCTGGAACAGGGGAGAGAAGGATGCCCTTTTCTTCAGACTTGAAAAATCTTAGAAAGCTTCATCATTTCAAAAAATATAAATAAAACTGGCTTACAAGTAGGTTGGTTATCCAAGTCTGCAGGAACTGCCTGAAACTTTATAGCCCTTGGGGAAATACTGTTTAGTTGCTCATGTTCCTTAGAGCTAAGATAAGCAGTTGAATTGCTGATGGAGCTGATTTGCTGACTGTGTTCTTGTATTGCAAATGTGAGGAGAAACTGGATAGTATAAATGCTTTCATGGTATATATGGAAAGTTTCAGAGTTGTTGCAGCACTTGCCTGGTTTTTGAGGCAGGTTCCAGTCCGTGTATTTGGTCACTGGAGGTATATTGTTTACTGACTCACAGCGCCCTGCTGCACAGTGTCTTGCTTTTGGCACACAGTAATGCCATAACACAGTTTGGACTGCCCAGATAGCTCAGCTTTGCAGGCATTTTGCTGCTTTCCATATATACCTTACCTACACGCTTCAATCTCTTCAAGTTTTAGCCATGGTGTTTACCTTTCCTTGGCTTTATGCAGGTTGACAGCGTGCACAGAGCTACTTGGCACAGCTCAGGTGCTGTGTTATAACCTGTGGAACCACATGAGTACCTCTGAGTTACTCTATTTTGGGGGAGTTTTTATATTTCTTTAACCATTAAGTTTTAGCAGGGTGAGCTCTACATTCGTTCACCTTTACCTCTGAAATGTTTTGGGGTTATGAGGATGGAGGGTTGTTATCATAAGAAAAATTCTTAGTCCTGGAGTGCCCCTTTGCTTTATTAGATCCTGTTTACTAATTTCAGGCATATTGGGTAATGTCTACTCATTTCGAGCATTTCAGATGAAATGCATGACACAGTTTTGGTTTGTTCTGTTTTTTAAACTGCAAACTTCTATGAATATTTTATTTTGATTGACTTTGTTTCATCTCATCAGTAACTGGTAATGTTATACACTGTTATTCGTGAATCATTATAAACTGTTATAACTGTACACATGTATCATAAAATTTTAAAAGAACTTTATGTCAAAAGCAGCATGAAAAGCCATATTTTCTCTAGATGTGTACATTTATAGAATGATTTATTGTTTCCCATAAACTTGTTTCCACTAGCAATACTCATATAAATGAGCTTAAATTTGATTCTTGTGAACATTCTGAGGGACTGGTAAGAGGAGAATGATACGAGAAAGGAAGGCTGGTTACTGTCAGAGTGATCTATGGTATGTGACTATAAAATGAAAACTGGCTTTTTTGGTGAAGTAGTTTATATATAACTTAATTGGGACAAAAGTAGTAAAATTCAGGATAGTTTTTGTTACTCTATATGATCTAGAATAATTTAATTTTTCTGTTGGTCAGTTTAATGTTCTGTAGAATAATACAGGATGTGCTGCTGTTGCTCCTAAGTTTCTTTAACACTTCTAAGGGTTTTTTTCTTAGTTTTTTAACTATCCTTTAATAAAACAGAGAGTGAAGAGCTGTAATTGTAATTGGCGTGGTTTAACCATCCACAGAAGTGAAGCCTGAAAGTCAACACTCTTTAGCTAACCATGGCATCAAGCTGCTGCTTGCGAGAGCACACTGACTTCATCTGATATTGGTGTCTACATGCAGATTTTCCCTAGAAAGGAGAAATACTTGCCTGAAGTGGGATGCTTTTAAACCATTTGGTCCACAGTCACCATGAGTGATTGAAGGGGCTGTGGTGGCAGGAGTGGTAGTTCAGAACGCAAGGTTTGGTCTCTCCTCTGCCTCATTGGTACCTCATTTTGGGGCAGAGGCAGGGTTTCCATCGCCGATGGGCTGCGTCTCAGCTCTGTGTGTGTGGCACTGCCTCCCAGCTCCTGCAGAAAGGAGGAGGGTTTGCTCCAGAGCCTCCTGCTGAGTGCAGCTGAATGGCTGGAGCTGTCACCCCTCGCCCAGGCCAAGAGAAGCAGTGGCTCCCTGGCATGCTGTCTCCAGCGGGCCCCCAGGAACCCGGAGGGAGCCAAGGCTCCTGTGGGGCTCCTGCAGGTCTTCCAACAGCCCTTCCTTCCAAAGAGAGTTGAGATGTTCAAAACAAGGGACAGCTACCACAGCCTTGCATGCTGAAAGCCATTAGAAACCTTTAGTCCACTAAAAAGAACGGCAGAAGCAAGACACCCACATCTCAGTGGGTGCAGGGAGTGTTTGTGGGGTCAGTCCCTAACAGTATAGATATTTCCACAGGAGAGTATAAAGGTTTGATAAGAAACCATGGAAGTATTCATTTAAGAGCCAAATTTGTGATGGCTTGCAGTTGCTCCCATGGGCACACGTGTGGTGACACTGTTCTCACCGTTACCTGTGGTGTTACGCTCTATAACATCTGAGAAATCCTTCAGGATTTGAGGAGAATAGAAGATGTGCATGAAAAACAAGTGCTGCTGCCTATTATGTCAGCTGTCATAATACTGTTGGCTGTAAAATAGCTTGTAAAAATGCTGCTTTCTAAATTTACATTGTTGTTTTCCTTTATTCATCTGAGTCTTTTCTTCCTCTCCTTAAGATCCCTTCTGTCCACGGTGCAGGAGGAGGAGGAGTATTGTCACACTTCCCTAAGTTTATGCTCTTCCCTAAGTTAATGCCCTTTTAATAAATGATAAACAATTCAGAAATCTGTAGTCTGTTACAGTGGGAACTAAGGAATTTTAGCTAAATTCTTCAACTTTGGAAGTTGCTCATAGTAATATGGAAATTTTTAGGTCTACATCTTCAGTATACTTGAAAATCCCTGCTATTGTTCCCAGAATATCATCTTGCCATGAAATTGCTGTAAATTTTCCCTATGCGCAGCTTATTTGTATACTTAGAGAAGATAGCCTCGTATTCAGTTGCCAGGATGCTGAAATAAATCAGCCCAAAAGGACATAAATGTCCTACTTCACGTATCATCTCAGACAATACATGTTTTGGTTGGATGTTTTTTAAACGAGCTGGAGAGGAAAATGCTTTCTATAAATTTCTGTGAAGCTTTTTGAGAGCTGAGGAATGTACCTGCTCTGCACTGGAACAAAACCTTGTACTCTCAAAGGTTTGGGTGGGTGTTTTTCTGTTTTATGAGGAAAGCAAAGGCAAAATTTCTGACTGGGGAAGATTGGGAGGCTGAATGAGGACAGGAACCTGGCTTTCTGACATGAGTGCATCGACTGTCATTCTAGCTTTTTCCATTTCCACTGGAAATTGCTAGATGTTAGAGTTCTGTGCTGATGGACATTTTTATTGAAATTGGTAAAGCTTCCTGTGAAAGGCTTCTGTGAACAGAAATATGTTTTATTCTCATTTCCAGCTCTGGCACAGATTACGTTGTGAACACGAACAAACTGCTGTTACTTTGAGGGGTGTTAGACTGTGTGATGTGGTGTTTTAAATCACTTAACCCACGACTTCCCACCACACACACTTCTTTGATGTCCTGACAATACCTGTGTTTCACTGACAATATACTGATAGCCTTCACCTGTGTACATCTGCCCTTCATGCCAAGAAATGGTGAGGAGATACACCGCCTCGATGCCAGTGAGCAAAACCTGGAAGTTTGGGGTGCAGGGTTTGAATCAGCATCAGGGTGCTGGGACAGACACAGGAGTGCCCGGAGAAGCTGTGGCTGCCCCATCCCTGGCAGTGTTCAAGGCCAGGTTGGACACAGGGGCTTGGAGCAGCCTGCTCTAGTGGGTCAGTCCATTGGTTCCAGAGAAGGCACTCTGGCTGCCCTTGTTGAGGCAGCTCTTGGGATTGCCTTCCTTTCTAACAAAGGAAGCCATTTGGAAGAACAGAATTACTTTATGAAAGAAGATGAGTCTCTTGTGCAGATAAAGGGGTCTTAATGGAGCTCATATGGGAGACCAAGTTTAGCATTTTGGCACAAATGGAGCTTCATGAGACCCTGTTAATGTGTCTGTATAAAATATTTCACCAAGAGCTTTTTGTAAAACAGACAGCTGAATGGTAAATGTATTTGTTAAAGACTGTTTTTTTCTTTATTTCTTCATTTCAGATAGTACTGCTTTTTCATCATCAAATCCACACGCTTTCCAGATTAATTTTAACAGTTTATACACAGCTTTGTGTGATCAGCAGAAATCTGATCAAGCGACTCTTCTTTTATACATGCTTCTGCATCAAAATGGCAATGTACGGACATATGTGTTGGCACGAACGGACATAGAAAATCTTGTAAGTATTGTTTTGCTTACTGTGTGCTCATCAGGGGGGATTTGTGTGTTACAGCTGCCAGTGTCCCCTCTTCTGTGGTGAGGACAGCAGGTTCTGCTTCACTTACTCACCAGTTCTAGCTCACTCATTCCTTTTGGTTATGTCATCTCAGGAGCAGGATGCTAAACATGTCACTGCAGTAAAAGACAGTACTGGTAGCACTACCAAGCTGTCTTTGAGTCCTTTCTGTCTTTCTCAGTGCTTTCTCACTGTCTTTTCCAGTGCTACTGTTAGTCTGATCCATGTCAAACCTGCTGACCTCTGGGCATGGTGTGACAGAAGTGGCAGCAGATAACATTCTACTCATTATTTAATCTTTCTTTTTCAGATGTTCATTCCAGAAAGTTACACGAGCTTACTGTGTGCATATAGGGATCATAGTTAACAAAATGAGCTGTAACTTGGCTAACATGCCAAATGTCTTACAGGGTTGACCTGAGGCTGGAGCTCCTCAAGGAGCAGCTGACAGATTTTATAGAAATGCAACTGTAGTGAGTTTTTAGTTGCTTTAAATAGGATTGTGGTTAATGGCCAATATTACAGACACCTGGTACAGGTTTTGTAGGTTATAAATTAGCTTCTGCTCCCCACTTCAGTTATGTCACGAACCACTTTAACAAATCTTACTTATTAAAAAGCATTCCTTTAATAAGATAATGGCTGTCTAGGGGAATTGGTAACGGAATAGAGAACCCTTTCCATTTTAATATTTGAAATCTTGCCAGATAATTAGATCCCTTGCCTGCTTGATGGCAATATGGAATGGGTTTGGTTTCAGTCCAAGTCCCAGCAGATGTATTGCTAAAATCGGAGTTGATAGACACCACTGTTGGCAAACTCAAGTGAGATGGTTGATGCTGAATTGATTCGAGACTGAACTCCTGTGTAGTCTGCTGCAGATTATCTAGGTGAGGGCTGGGTCATTTTGCATGAACTCTGTAATTAAATGGTCATACTTAATTTTCTGGGCTGTTAGTGTGTGGTATAGCAAGTTTCACAGCTGCTAACCAGATCAATTTACTTTAGAGAAATAAAGGTTAAGTGTGTGCATTGTTTTATAATTTGATGTCAGATGCCTTGTAAAACTTGCAGTAAAAGCATGATGTGCGTGTGTCAAAACAACTCCAGATGCAGGTACACAGATGCTCTGCAATGTGGGGTATTTTTATGTATTATCATCTATCTTTACTCACCTTCAGAAAATAATCAGAAAATCACAGAATCATGGAAATAATCGGCAACATTAAACAGCTTTTGGGAAAAGCTGAGAAAATTTGGAAAAGCATGACTGAGAAGTCAACAGTATTTATTCTTTTAATACCAAAATTTGAAACTCTCTGCTCTTCAACAGCATACTGCTGCTTCTTGTAATCCCTGCTGATACATTACTGACATCTTTGTCCAGTGCTCTCATTTGTAGTGGGTAGTAGGTAAGAATGAGCAGCGGCCAACTGAGAAGAGCAGTTTTAATTGCTCAGTAGTGCAGGCTGAGGCAGACACAATAAGGATTGGGGGGTGGGAGGGTTAATGGAGACAGATCATGATCTCTCAATTACAACCCTGTGGTGAAAAAGGCTAATTCAGTTTTGGGCTTTTAAATGAGAAGAAGGGGCAGGAGCAGTGGAGCTGGTTATTTCCTTCCCTATATGGCAACAGCAAGAGCGGTACTAACACACTGCGTACTGTGCTGGTGGTGAGCTACCATACTTCATAAAGTATTTACAGGCTATTGAAAAGTGGGGAGAGTGTAGAGAAACTCTTTTTTTCTCTTTAAAATTAACAATAAAACTGACAATGAAAGCTGACTTGGCTCAGTTGGTCAGAAAAGAGCTTGAGAAGCATCAGGATGTGTACGTGCTGCATCAGGATGTGTACGTGCCTTTACAAGGGGAAAGCCTTGAACAGAAAGGATTCTCCGCTTGCAGAGAAGTGTGGTGAGAGCTAAAGCCTGGAGATTGAATCCTACAACTTAGAGAGATGGGAGGAAAACAGTCAAGGTAATGAATTCAGAGCCAAACCTGTACTCACTGTGGGTATCTTTGAATGGCTTTCTGGAGGAGTGTGGCATAAGTCACTGGTCTCTTCATACAGAGTCAGGTGGGAGAAGTGTAAGAGTCCACAGCATATAAGAGATCACATCATCAGTCAGCTGAATGCTCATCTTAAACTTTCAGGGACTTTGTGGGTTGTTCTGGTTGCACTGCATGCAGTGCACCACATTTGTTGTGTTTTCCCCTGGTTTAATTCTTCTCAGTTTTGGTGCCCAGGAAGCATCGTTAGCAGATGTTCTGTGACATTTCCTAGGGGTTTTTGAAATATGTCTTTGCTCTTTTGTAACTTCAGTTTAGTTTGTAAATTGAATCAGCATGTTTTTTTCTGTTAATTCTAGATAGTCTCAGCTTGCTTCCTACTTCATATATGAATTTACCTCTGTCAGTTGTAAATAAATTAAGAACTGACACAGGTAGATTCTATTATGCTTTATAATGCTTTGTCATTAGTAAGCCAGTGCATCTTTTTTGCTCTTTAATGTAGAATGAATAGGATGGGTTTGTGTCTCCCATAGCTTACAGCATGTCACTTTATATAATTTCATAAAATAACTGGGTTAAATATCTGGTGCTGTTAGGGATGTTCACATCTGGAATTTGTTTGTCTTATTGGAAGTACTTGCAGGGATTCTCCAGGAAATGGTGAGACTGGTGAAATAGGGGCAACTGGCAGATTTTTTCTTAAGCTGTCTTTCGTGGTCTGTGGATGGGAGAATTTTGTGCCCTTGTCTGTTTGGAAGAGCAGTTAACACCCATACTGCAGGTAAAAATACCAGTGAGATACCTGCTTATAGAAATAAGCTTTTTCTATTGAATGTGTTTGCTTTGGCTGCTGAGTTGGCATTTCATTGCTGCTCAATGACTGGACAGAAGTAATGTATATGCTGATGTATTTATATCAGCCCATGGTACAGCAGTATTTTTTCCTGTGGTATTATTTGGCTTAAGCAGGGTTACTCTTGTGGCTATGTGGTCTTGTATTTTGTTGTATACTAAAGACAGGTTATTTTAAAACACTGTGCTTGGGAAACTGTTCCTGACCCTGGACCACATATAGCGCCTGCAATTTTCAGTGTCTGTTTTTACCTGCTTTTACCATTTTTTTTTTTTTGTCTGCTTTTACCTTTTTTTTACCATTTTTTCAATGATGGGTGTGTCTCGCCAGATAAAAGCTTCTCCTGATGGAGTATTAGAAGTAGTCCAGTAATGAGAGTTTAATGATTATGAATAAAAGGGCCAGCAACACAAAAAGAAGTGGTGGTTGTCTTCTCAGTACATGTTTGGACAATGCTGTTGCATAAGATGGCACATAAAAGTTTTAATGCATGTGCTTAATGTAAAGTGTAGAAATGTATTTGGTTAAAATTCTAGATAGACTTTCATTTAAATAAAATTTTAACCTTATATCCTTATTCTCATTTAAGTGTTGGCTTCTGAATTAATTTTTGTTTAGAGAACAGTAATACTTGTCCTAAATATGTCTGACCTCAGCAATCAGTATGCAAAGAAGCAGTGTTTGAAGTAGTAAGGGTTATAGTCACTATGTGAATTGATACTGTTTTCGTCTGGAAATGGCAGGTATAGAGAGTTAAGATTCCATTTGCCTTCTTCAGTTTGGTGTGGTATGTACATGGAGAGAAGTCTGGAAGAGGAGCAGAAAGGAAACTGGCCAGGGGAGTGGAGGAAGGAAGAAGAGGTTTTGGAAGCTTTCAAGGTGTTTTGGGGGCAGGAACACTGAATGGACAGATCTGGAGAGCCAAATCTCTCTTCAGAGTGGGAGTGATTTCAGTAGGTAGCATGAAATTTTAGTAAGAGTATTTCAACATTATTGGCTCACGTGGAAAAATGTCAGAATCAGGTACCCGTTTTTAATGTCATTGTAGCAACACACTTCTAGGGCTTGGAGCACTTGAGGAATATGAATGCAGTTTTTCAGCTTAGTTTGACCTGATATGAATGTGCATCGACGCATCGACAGAGATGTTGGACTGTTCTGAAGGAATATGTTTCTACAGAGTTCTTTGGATAGTATTATTTAGCCTTAACCACACTGGATCATAGTTACATTGAAGGAGTGCAAGGCATGTACTTCATAAGGCAGCATATTGAATTCTGAGAAGCTGTAAAAATTAACAGACACGGCTGTTTGGAAGCTGTCTTGAGAACTAAGAGCTTGTTCCACTGGTTACCTTCAGAAAGGCTTTTGTTGTTCTCCCTGCAAAGTCAACTTGTAAGTGCAATTCTTTGGTAATTTTCTATTGTTTCCTGCTGTATGCTGCTTATCATAGTGCTTGGAGTTAGAAATGAGTTTGAGCTTATGCAGTGCAAAGCTATGTTCAATATAAATATTGGAGATGGAAATCATTTGAAGAGTGGCCTAATGCAGTGATGTTTGTCTCCTTTTTCCCCCTCTCCATGAAAAAGGACTAATGTTTTCTGCTGTATATGCTAAGTAGATATTCCAAGGAAAACATCTTTACTTTCAAGACCTATATTCACAAAATACAAAGACATCAACTCTGGTTTCATCTAGAGAAGGAAGTTTGTGAAGGATCCTTCGAAATGGAAGGATGATTGCAATGTGTAAATATTTCTTTCCCTCTGCTTTTGTTGTGGTATTGTGTTGCCCCTGTCCAAAGCATCTGTCAAAAGCTTTTGTGGCCTGCAGCATTTAGATCAATCTCATTGCTTTTAATAGAAGCTGTTGTGTGTTTTAATATGTTCCAACTGTTTGGGGACTGGTTGATTGCAAGAGAACATTCTGGTAGCTTCAGAGGCTTGTGAAGGACTTGGTGTCCTGGCTGTTCACCAGAATAGGTTTAACATGATTCATCCTGCTTAACTCGGCCTGTTTTGAGAAACAGCAAGTCTTTAGGTGTCTGGAAGCTTTTTGGAACGAATTCTGCATCTCATCCGCTATCTTGGAATTGAGAGTTTTCTCCAGTTCCTTTTCCCAGGGTGTTTTGTGATTTAGGCCTATTTGTACAGCCCAGGGAAGCCACATTGTACTAAGCCAGTGGAAAGCTAATTTTCAGTTGGTAGAGAGACAACGTCTGCATCTGGATTAACTTTAGACTAACGTTCAGGTATGCTTGCTGTTGCAATGAAATCTCATTTTTGTTATTATTGCAAGTCTTTGGCTTAAGCCATTCATCCTGGTGGAAATGTTGCAAGACCTTGGGCTGAACTCACATCATAATGTCAGTTCTCTTTGGCTGCGTATTATCTAGAATTAGAAAAACAGGCCTTTTCTAGTCTTAATCCAACCCAAACTGGTTCTTTTCTGGGATTATCTCCACGTACCAAAGTGGGGTTTGAGTTCCAGGTCTCAGAATGCCTCTGTTCACCTTAGCTCCATTGTGCTTGGCTATATTTGATGAGGACGGTCTTCAGACCAGGCTTGTGGGAGCACAAATGGTTAGAAGCAATTGTTTTCCTCCTTCAACTGGTGGAAATTTTGTTTAATAATTGTATTTTCCACATGGTCTGCAGGGGAACTAAAGCTTTCAGAACCCATGGTAACTGGTATGGCTGGAAATCTCATTTATTAGGAACTGAAATTCCATGTCTGACCACAAGAAAGAATTTGTTTAGACTCTTTTGTGGAGACAGAATGAAACAGATGGAAGGTGTTTGAACATTGTACGTCACTATTTAGGGGTGGTTATTTCAAGAAGGAGGAATTGCTATGATGTTGTTAAGGGCAGGGTAATACACGGGAGGTTTAGAGTCTCCTCTTTTTATTGTATGAGGTATTTGAAGACTAAACTAACACACACGTTTTTTCTTCCATAAAGGTTCTGCCAATTCTTGAAATTCTGTATCATGTTGAAGAAAGGAATTCACACCATGTTTACATGGCTCTTATCATTCTGCTGATCCTTACAGAGGATGATGGCTTCAACCGATCCATCCATGAAGTGGTGAGTTGTTCTTTTGGTAAATAATTCTTCAGCTGTAAAAATGGTTTAAATCTTCATTTTTATAAAGATATATTGGTATTTCTGTTTCCTCAGCAGAGGCTGTATGTGTTCATCCAAATTTGATGACATATACATATTTCTTCATGAGGACTAACCCGAAGTTAGAAGAATCATTTCAAAACTTTCCAGATGAACGAACGCGTTCCCTCTTGTAGAGGAGGTGCTGCATGTACCTCTTTTTCTGTCCTTTCTTGTGTTTCCTGTTACAAATTAATGTAATAATAGTCGGGCAGCTGTCTCAAAGAAGCTGAGTCTTTGCCATGAAAGTGGAGGGGCTAAATGAGAGAAAAAAACACAGAAACCCTTTCTTATTTCTCTTGAAAAACTTTGCTTAACCAGTTTGATGCAGCTGAGTGGAGCTTTTAGTTGGGAGTTTTATTTTCCAGACTGAAGGTTACTTCCTTACTTGGCGTTTCTTTTTATGTCTTTCTGCTAGATTAATATCTATTCTATGTTGAACATATAAAATTATCCAAATTTTACTAGTTTTGATGGGCCTCAACCATCTGTGCTTGGACAACGACGTTCTAGTTTCCCAGCCTCTAAAGCTGCGATAATGCTGAAGGTGTCTGTCTGCACTGATTTTTATTTGCTTTTTTGACTGGGACATGGAAATTCTTGTCTGAGGTTATGTGATATTAATGAAATACAAAAAGCTGGAAGCAGGTTTCAAGGTATCTAAACAGAACTCTTAGGTAAATTTCCAGCCTGTTTTAGAGGGAGCTGGCATTTACAGTATTTACTTCCAGTATTTACTCTCAGAAATTTCAGACTATTTCCTATAGCTTTGTATGGAGAAAGAGATGATGCTTATATTTAATAAGAAGAGATGATGTTTATATTTAATTTCCTGGAAGTACCTTTTAGGAAGCAGTTTTTAGGAGGAGCACCTGTAGTTAACCATGCAGATAACTGAAACAGCGTTTTCCTGGAGCTTTCTTCTGCCTCAATTTCATGTGCCTTGAACCTGCACATCCACACCATGTACATGTGTGATGTGTATTTTGGGTTTCTGTATCAGTAAGTCATTTAACTTCTTTTGTAAATTGAGCTTGTTGAGCATTAGAGTCCAGCAGACGCACTGCCTCAGTCCCTTCATTCTTCATTTCTTTTAAAGGCTCCACACATGGTCTTTCAATAAATTCCCTACTGGATAAGTAGAAGTGGAAGATTTCCCTGAAATTTGTTAATGAGAATCCAGATGCTGAATGAGAACATAAATCAAGTTTTCTCCAGTTTGTTCGTGCCTTTGCAGCTAACCCTGCCAATATTTGTGGCATTTTCTGTGCCGTCTGGGTATTAGTTTACTACTTCCATTTTAGATAAAAACAAAACCAAACCCCACCTTGTTCTTTTTCCTGTGTGCTGTTTTGATGGTTTGTTTTTTTTTTTTCAGTCCTGCTTTTGCTTCTTCCAGTTTTTTCTCAATTTAAGCTTAGATTTTACTTCAGATTTTAGTAACTGCTTCTTTCTTTTACTCTGTAACTGTTTTTCCCACTCCATAGTATCTGGTGAGAAACATCCATTCAATAATACCATTAATATGGCCAGAGTTTTGCTGGTTCTGCTTCTTAAGTAGGTGAGAGGTGAGTGTGAAGTGATGGGCCTTCAGGATTGTCTATGTGAACATCTCCTGTCAGCCCTACTGCAGAAAATAGCTGTGGAAATAGAAATGTGCATGGATGGAGTGCTATGACACTGCTGAGGATAGATATAGCATAGCCTTAATTCTTCTTCCTGCCTTCCTCTGTTCGTACTATTCTTCCTCGTAGACTTTTCTCCATTATCTGAAATGCCTTCATACCAAAGGAGATAGCAGACTTGGAGGCAAAGCAGTTTGCTTTTCCGCCCTTGCAGTGCTTCTTCTATTGAATTTGAAGGCTTTTTCTCTCTTCATGCTCTTGTACTTTATGTTATGCAGGTGGATTGGATGCAGTGAAGGAGAAAGAGATTTCCTGTTGTTCAGATCTTAAACTGCGCTCTGAAAGTCACCTAATAAACTATGATAGAGAAGAGCTGATGACTGTGATACCAACTCCTAAGTATTCCTTATAGAAAGGATTCCTTATTTACAGAAAAAAACACACAATATTAAAATTAAACAAAGCTGCCTTCTTGATCGCTGTACCTACACCATTCCTCAACTTTACAGAAGCATGTGGATGTCAAAATACAAACCTTCATAGATTGTGAACTGTTGGGGAATGGCTATATGGCTAGTGAGTTCCTACATATGAGGTAGTGAGGTCACATGATGGGGAGTAAGTGTAGTTAGTGCCTTACATTGAGAGAAAAGGATTAAAAATCACACTGATAAATCACTTCCTGTCACCAGTCTTTTTGGATTACCCAAATGAATGTTTCCAGGAATGAATGACCAAGTTATTACTCAAAAAGGACAGTATAAAGAAAGAAATCAGTCTCATACTGTCTTAAATATTAACTCCACATCTCATAAAGGCTAAGAACATATTATAGGGCAGCAAAGTGAAGGGAGTTGGGAAGACTGTGCAGTTATTTCTGTAAAATGTGAACATCTAGCATCAGTGACAAAACTGCAATGAAACTCTTGCTCCCTGCAAATATTTATCAGATTTTAGCAATTACAGCAGGATTTGTTTTCCTCCCCATCACTTGGGTAAACTGTGAAGAAAAAAAGGCTTGATGTATTTTAGATCAACCTGTTTTTCTCTCTGCTGCTGTGTATCCTGCATACTGTTCTTATGAGAAGCATGACTGTACAGTCCATTTATGGGCTATTTTCCTTTGTGGCATTTAACCCACATTTATTTATTGATTTTAAAGATTAATTTTAGTAAGCACAGTTTTATAAATCTTGTGATTATACTGATTGGTAAAGAGCTCAGGAAACCACAGAAACTCCTGACTGCTGAAGCATTTTTTTCCCTTAACTGCCTGGAAAATACAATCAGAACCATAGGTCCCATTCCTGCAGTTGGCTTACTGCAGTTAAGTCCCTGTAACCGCACAGAGCTCAATTTCATTCACTAATAATAATAATAAAAATAATAACAGAGTAAATGAGTAAATGCAGGAATTCCCTAAAGGGAAGAAGTATTGCTGATTTTTCTTCTCTGATTTATGAAACTAAATAAAATGAAATCGGATGTCAAAATAACATCATATAATATTTTATATGATGTTTATAATATTAGAATATTTTTTGCTGTAATGGTGATAGACTATAAGTCACAATTTAACTGTGTTTATTTTTACTGTGTTAAGAAACATCGCGAAAGCAGAGTTATAGGAAACTGAGAATCTCAGTGCTCGATATATATAGAACTGAGTTCCTGTTCTTTGCATCTGCAGTTCTGACACCCTCAGTTGTAAATGTCCAGGAGCCTGGTGTTAAAAAGAGTAATTAAGCAAAACATTTTAATCTTATTTTTTAATTACTGCAAGACTGCCCCAGGTCTGGACTTGTTTGAATTTTTTCCCTTGCTAATATTATAAGCAAACCAATGAGGTTGTTCAGTTGGGGCACTGAGTTCAGGCAGTTGATTCTGAAATTTAAGATAATCTTTGTTTTGTGCTTCTGCAACCTGCACCCATGGGAGCATCGGTGGCGGGTGCTGTTGTTTGTTTAAATAGGCATTTCATTGCCTGCCTGCTGTGGTTGCTTTCTTCAGTAAGGGGAGAGGAGAGTCGAGGTGATAGGGACTGGTAGATGACCTTTTAGCTTTGAGGTTTGGGTGTTGTTGTGGTTTGGAGTGGGCTGTTACAAGGTATGGTTGTCTCAGTGAATGTAATTTTCCAGGGCTGGCATTTTTAAAGTTCAGGTGTGAACCATTGGCCATTTATGGAGTTAGACCAGGACATGGACATGCTTGTCCATGGTTAAAGATGTCAGAATGTCCTTTAACAGGCTCTGATAAGTTCATGTTTTTCATTAGGCATTTGAAATGTGACAAGTGGCCTTTATGCTAGGGCTCTGCTGCCGATAATCTGACTAAACTTGGCCAAATTATAAACCTCTGTTTTTAAGCAGTCCGTTTCCATCTGTGCAGCAGATGCATAGTCAGAGGTGGCCTGATGTCTGTTGTGATTGAATATTCTCATTTTCCTGCTCGCAGAGCCAGGTGGGCTGTTTGCATCCTCCCCTGTCCAGTGATCATATATCAGTTGAGGTGCGTAGGGACAAGCTGAAGCTTGTGTAGATGCTGCTTCCAGCTCCTGTGGGATTGGCCTGTGCTCCCAGTGATGCTTCTGTTGCTGCCTGGCAATAGTTGAAACCTCATAGAATCATTTATGATGGAAAAGACCTTTAAGATTGAGTCCAGCTGTAAGTCTAATGCTGCCAGGTCCACCACTAAACCATGTTCCTAAGCACATCTGCATCTCTGAAGAAGAAAGTGTGAAGGAACAGAACCCCTGACATGGATCCCAGACTGGTTTGGGTTGGAAGGGACCTTCAAGCTCATCCAGTTCCAAACCCCTGCCGTGGGCAGGGACACCTTCCACTAGAGCAGGTTGCTCAAGGGCCTGTCCAACCTGGCCTTGACATGACCATGGTTAGGAGAAATTAGAAGAGGCTGTGGCTGGCTGCACAAGAAACATGAGATGGGTGGAGTGGGGGAGAGAAAGACAAAATAAACAAGCAACAGGTAAGAATTGGGATTGCTGAGCAAAGAATTGAGAAAAGAAGATAGGAACAAGGTCAAAATGCTGGAGAAGATGAAGTCAGACTTGTTTATGATGAGAGACTGGAATGGCAAGTTGACTGGGGGAAGCAGAAGCTGGGAAGAGAAATTGCTGAGAGGAATGTGGTGTGGGAGGGCAAGGAGCTGGGAATGAGCCACAGGGAGTTAAAACATAAAGGGTAACAGCTTGTGCATAGCACAGGGAGCCATAGATGTATGACAAAGATACGACTGGAGGTTATCTAACTTGTTTCAGTCCCATTCTTCTTTTGCTGT